GGGGAGTTGAAAGAGAGCACGTTCGGGATTCCACTTTACGGAAACCATGATTTACAGATTGATTAAATTCAAGGGAACGGTCGGTTACGAATGAAAACACAAGTTATTTAGAATTCAGAAAGCAATCGTATTTCGGTAAAAACTGAATATTTTATGTGAGGGAAGAAATTAAGCACCTCTTCCTTCAAAACCGTGAAAGTGCAGTTCTCTCAATACGCAATTTACTCATCCTATCCGACTAAAATACATTATAAAGCACTCATTACTTGTAGATACTTACCACAGTGTTTAATTTACTGTGAATTTATGCATTTAAGACGCCAAATATATAATTGTTTTAGTATAATTGAGCAAAGTAATTGGTAATGAAATGCGTGTAGCGTAATTTCAGGAAGCATTATTAATTATTATTAATTATTAACCACGTGTTTTTCATATTATTACGGTCCAATGATTAGCTCTTTCTGCATTATATAATCATTCCTGTTTCTTCCCAATTGAAATATTAATTCCAATTTATAGCCCAACAATGGGATGAACTTTCTGTCGCCCCTGGAAATGGTTTGGCGTAATTGTGCCTTGAGGAAATTAGTGAAATCTTTTATTTACCAGTAACATATTTCCTTTAATCATGAAGCCAACGATTGGCTCTGCTGCTAGGCCAATAAAGGGACGTCAGTGTGCACGCTTTAGTAATGCTGTAAATTAACCCAACCCCCAGCCCCACCCCAACCCCACCCCCACCCCGCGTGTCCGTTTGGCCATATTCCATTGCACGCGCAGCGCACGGTATCACTTTGTTTGAATAGAAATATTACTGAATCCGCACCACATCCGTCAGTTCTATTTCGCTAAATTAAGTTGAGAGTTGCATACAAAAAATCCGAAAATTCACACAAACGCGCGCACTTGGATAGAAAAGAATCAAAAAAAGCCCAAAAAACACATCTGACATTGACGCCTCTTATTTTCTACTGGATAATTAAACCAATCGCAGCATGTCCTTCCCAATGAAACTCTCAAGCAGCAAATCTGGTCGACTCACACATCAAGAGGACGTAGTTTCCAATGCGAGTGGACACTTTCATGACTCCAATTCGATTTCCCCCTCAAATCAGGATTTGTTAAACCCCAAGCACACATTACTTGTTCGAGCTGAATTGCCTAAGCCAATGTCAAGACTTCCAGAGATTCGTTTAGAAGAAGATGGTGGCGATGGAAATGGAAATAAGGGACTAATAGCGCAGATGAAACCCCAGAAATCTTGTGAATCGTATGATTCAACCGCGAGTGGCATGAGTTGGAGTAGTTCTCAAAGCGCAGCCGCCATTAGTGGAGGAGGCAGTGGATATGGAAATTCGGCATCGGTTTCTGGAAATCTCTCCTATTCCAGCTATGAAGAAGACGAAAGGCCCATTTCTCGAATACCGTCTAATCCTGGTGTTATACATAGATCTCAATATTCCCCAAGAGTTGACAGCAGTACTCAAAAAGGAAAGTACAATTTTAGAACAGGATATAGTTTTGAAGAGGAGCATCATGAATGTTCGACTGATGGCCAAGAAGAACAAAATTTGGTTAACGATCAGGCAGATGTCTTTTTCCAAACAGTTTTTGATGATCGGGAGAAAAATGTAAGATCAGTTTAAATTTATTTAGATTTTTTTCGTATTAGTAGAGGGGATGTAAAATTTTGAATTTAGACTTAAAAGATAAAATGATTCTAGCATGCTCAGAGGAAATTGAAAATCAGGCTGATAGTAATAGGCTTATGAATAATGATCATCATATCTTCATTAGCATGCAAACATTCCGTTAAATGTTACTTCCTGTTTTGGCCCGTTGGGAGATTTAATTAAATGAATATATATATATATATATATATATTATTGTTCAATGCGTAGAAACAAATAACATAATTTAGAATTTATATTTTGCAATTAACATGCAGAACAACTTTTGAAAAGTTGTTAAAACGCGTTAGTAAGATAATAAACATTCTTTGCTTAACAATATCAAAGTATTATTTAAGTGCATATTGATAACAAGAGAAAATTGAGAAAATCTCCTTCTGAATTTGATCTGAAAATTCAAGGATAATTTCTTTATTTGTAGCCTGTAATATTTTACCAAAAAGAAACAAAAATTTGAGAAAGGAAATTGTTTAGTTATTTATTCTTCTATGTAAATTTTCGAAATACCGTAACTCTACTTAATATTTCACTTTGCATTAAGCGTTTTCCTAAAAATGGGTAACAGAAAAGACTTATATTTGCAAATCACGATGTTTAGTTGAATTATATCAGTGTTAAGTCAAGATAATTACCTATTTTATTAATACCTGGTTTTGGACAGACTTAAAAGGATGGTTTTGCTATCTATTTGGACAAGAAGATTGAATAAAGCCTTTAATACATACAAAATAATGATATTTTAGTCCCATTACTATCTTAAAGGCCTGATAACTAAAATGGTGCTAAATTTGTTTGTCCGTGCACCTTACTTAGAATAATCCTTGTTGCAAATTGAATTATATTCTTGACATTTATTAATATTTTCAATGATTTAAATAAATTTAGAATCTTCTTTTAGCGTGTGTTTTCATCAAAATTAGAGCTCCTTCTCATTGAAAAATATTTCAAAATATGTTTACCTTTTGCAGCCAAAAGCAATACACCATTTATTTAATTAGGTTTATATATATATGAGTGTGTGCGTGAGTAATTAGGAAATGCGCTCAAATATTTTCCAATATGAATATACCAGGCACGAATGCTCAACAAAATGAATAAACCTCTTATTAAATAAATTATTTTTTCGACCTATGTAACATTTTATTTAGGGCATATTTGCAAATTAAAAGCAATTATAGGTAACAATCCAAAAGTGGGTGCGTTTCTAATAGCCGATTTGATTTTTAGGAGAATATATGGAGAATGGCGAAGTTACTAATAAGTGAAATTCTGGGAAAGTTGTGGTTTTTAATTGGAACACTCAGATTCCAAGAAATCAGAGTTTGTGTAACTGGAACAAAATGTACCCACATCCATTCGGCATAGTTGAATATGCAGTAACCTGGAAATTCTTTAAATAAGGTGGTACATTTTTAATTCAGTCACTTTTGGTATCAACAAATAAGTATTTAAGAGGAATTAATACTTGGCCAATTGAGGTATTTACATAATTCGGTGGAATAAACGGTAAGGAGACTGAATTTATTGAAGCGTTTTTGATTTGGATGGATTAATAACTGTCATCTTTTCTTACGTTGGTTGTTTAAAATTGTTAAACATAACAATATATTAAATGTCAACAACACTATATTGTTTTCACTCAATTCAAGGCTTTCACAATTGACTTGTTTGCTCTGAAGTGAAACGCACCAATTTAATTTATAGGTAAAATCCACTTTAGCGATCTATCTGAAAGTTGGAAACAATACCTACTTACCTTAATTTCCTCAATTCATTTTATATTTTATTTCTTCAATAAACGTTTATTATATTCGGTTTATTTTTAATATCATGAATTTGACATTCAATATAGAAGGTATATCTTAGGATATCTTATTGTTGACCAATACATTTACTATGATTGTTTAAATAAGGGCCTTGGTAATGCAAAAATTGTGTATCACTGGTTCAATCTGTTTAGTTTTGTGCTTTTTGCTTATTTATTGCACATATATATTTAAATTTTGAATTAAAAAATTTACTTTGAGGAGTGGGCATATGCCCTTAGTACATTTAAATGCTACACGCAACGAAGTCAAATTCAATTAATCGTTTTGTCTACCTGATTATAAAATTCGTTTTCTCGTATTTCAAATTTTATTTAGCTTTATAAATAATTTTTCTAGATCGACATTCTGATGTTAGTTATTGATTACACTTTTATGCTTTTTATGCATTTATTTATATAAGCATTTTGTTGTTTTAATTCTGAACCATGTAGATAAGGTTTAATTAATGCATTCGAAGTAATTTTTTTTCGAAAATTAGTAATTCATCCAGTGAAACTATCAATCAAACGAAAAAGCACTTTTAGGTGCAGTGTAGGTGGAAGCGCACCATTAACTAGGAATTAAAAGTAAAAAGGTATTATTATTAACTTTGAATCATTAATGCTGCAGATTATGGTGAAATTTATCGTCCATTAGAACTTTGAATACGGAAAATATTTTGTTCATTCGTATAGTGCAATTCAGTTTTTCTATCAAAAATATCTTTATTATTTAATTATAAGCATCACTTAGTACGAAACTACCTAATTCTATGTTATATTGTTATTAAAACAAGTGACAAGATAAAATATGTAATAGCACCAACTCGATCGACTTTTGAGCCGTTAATTACACTGGTAATGCGATCCAAAGATCACATTTCAACTCACAAAAATATACTCGCATCGTTTTTAAAGATAATTTGCATATTTTTTATACTAGTGAGATAATATCAATGCTTTCTGCAACATTGGCTCTACATGTAGTGAATTTCAGACACTAATTTGATTTAATAAACCGAAGAAAATTGTCCTGTTTTCACTCAAACAAAAACAAAATCATAACTCTATAATATTAATTTTGAACCAATTAATATTTTTTTCACTTGTATGTTCATTTAAGCTGCAAGCTGATGATCAAGAAATAGAGGTGTCAGTTCTCGAGCGCGCAAAGAGAAAGTCATTCAAACGCTTCTGGCAAAGGGCCTACAATGCGATAAAAACTGACTTCGTAAATAAAGACGTAAATCATTAATTTTTCATTATTCTCTGTGTGTGTGCGTGTATGTGTACAAGCACTTTAATGCCCATACAATCATAAAATCTCCGAAAGAAATATTACTGTTCTAGCAAAGTTGGCAATTCGGTACGCAGAAAACGGTCCAACTTGACGCAGAATAAATATTTTGTGATTAAATATTAATTACTACTTGTTGATTATTGAAAGATAATTAATTGTGTGGGCACTTTGAAATATTCCTAAAAGGCTTTTGAATAATCATTAAAACAATATTTTGTTTTTAGAGTGATTCCAAATTTAGATCGTCTAAAAATAAAGTTGAAAAGGATGAACCTGAAGGTATATATATTGAATTAAAATTAAATTATATTTATTTAATTTATATTCATGTAATAAAATAGCACAAGAATACAGCATCTCTAATTCGTCAAAAGTAATTTAACTGTTTGTGCTTGTGACTTTCATGCATAGAAATCGATCCAGTTTACCAACTCCTCAAATCGGCTGCAACTCAACGTCAGAAGCCAATGAAAAGTGCTACATCATTTGATCAGGCAGATGAACCGGTTCGCAGGCCTCCCCGGCTTTCATCAAGTAAGTCTACGAAATAAAATGGATTTATTTCTTTTTTACACGTATATACTACTTTAAGCATATTGATAAGCGTCCAAGTTTTGCCAAAGTTTGGATTTACTCACATTCGGGTTAATATTCTATTAATTAACTGAAAAATGGCTTTAAACTTGCATCAGTTTGTGGCCTTTTATTAATGCGAGTTTCGGTTTTCTGTTGCAGGTAGCCGGACGAGTTCCTTATCGCAAAAGGAGCGTTCACAGCCGCCATAGGTTAGATTCAAGGTCAAAGAAGGTAGTCACAGCTACGGCAAATGCCCCAAAATATCATCTCTGCAATGCCCTTGACTGTATTATTTTGTTTAACATCACCAACAACATTAAAACAAAACACAATATGTTCGCCCATAATTGTGAATACTCTGCTCTGCAATTATAGACCGTGTTATTTTGTATATATATATACATATATATTGGCTGCTTTTATAAGAACACCTCTGTTTTGTCATTCCTTCTGTTAACTCTAAAATTTACAACAAGTTTAAAATTATATTCAAATGCGTTTATTTGTCTCTAAAATAAAGAAAATTTTAAAAATATGTGAAGAGTAAAGTAATACCCTTTGTGGGATTTCGAAATTAAAAATTGAGGCATAGTTTATTTAGCATTTTTTAATAGTGATAATAATATATTATAACAAATTTGAAATTGTAAAATCAATTGTTCATTCTATAATGTCAGGTTTAATTTATTGAATAAGTCACCATAACGTTCACTCGAACCTGAAATGTAGATCTAAATTAAAATCGATAACAGGAGTAGATTTATGATCACCTGTTAAAAGGTGAAAAATTCACAATAAAATTGTTATAAAATCAAAACGTTTTAGAAGGTATCGGAAGTTTACACTACCCCCCAAAACACATTTGATAATTTGCTTTTAAATTTAGCATGAAACAATTGTAAACTTGGTATTTTGAGTGCTTCGAAGTAATAAAATTATCTCATTATAGTCGCAACGTTTTGAATTAACGCGTCTGTTATTGCCCTTTTAAACGAAATTTCCTTTTTTTCTCTTTCAAGACTTTTAACTTAAGTTTCAATTTTATTTGCTTAAAAGGGACTTGTAGGGCGTTATAGAGGAGTCACTCAAAATGCTGACGCCTGTACAACGATTCCAAATGCCAAATTTCAAGATCACATAAAACAGAGCGAATTATATTGCCAATCATGACAATCATGCGCAGTCGAAGTTAATCCCTGAAAGGGGCCTTGAGGTAATGTGCATTTAAGACAGATAATTTTAGCGAATGTTTCGAAATAACAAAAGTAAAAAACGGCGTGTTTTATGTGCGGAGTAGAAAATAAGAAAGCATTCCAGACCTTTTAAATATTCTCATAAAAAAACTGAAAAACATAATCAAGCCATCTTCTTCTTCTTAAAACCACGCCTTTTTTATGAACGCTTATCCCTTTAACTTTCGAATTATTTTTTTTTGAAAAATGTACCCAAGCGCACTCACGCTTGTCACGCAACAGACTGATGCCGAAAGAGTGGTGAGTTTTGGTGGTGCATTAGTCAAAGGCTACATAGACACGTATTTACCATGTTTTGATTGGCAATAACGTCTTCTGCTGCGAGTCTGTTATCAATAGAGGTTATTTTATTTGGCTGAAATCTCTTGCAAATACTGTGTTATAAGGCCCTTAATTAATCATTTTTCATGAACTGGGATTTGTAAGCACCGCTGGTCTTTGGAACACCCCATTGAGACATATATTGACACGCTTTATTTGGATTTGAATCTTTTATCTTGCCTAGTGTGCTGCGAAATTAACCTTTTTCCCATTTTAATCTCCCTCCCCTCCCCCCATTCCTGAAAGGGAAAGAAATAAAATATGAGTGCATGTTCCGTGCCTCGGCTTAAAATGATTAACAGGCAACAGCAACCAAGCAAAACCATAAACAATGGATTGAATGACCGCGAGGATGACCTTTTCAATGACCTTTTTGAATTCACATTTTATATTTGGGGGGGGGGTGGGCGGTATTGTTAGTAAGCAATAACTAAATAAACCGCTTTTTGCTCAGTTTATTCACTTTTTTTAATCAAAGTTAAAGTAATTTTGACTTCACGTTTCTCTAAATGACAAGATTTTAATAATGTTTAACTAGCTTTAGTTCAATATACATTCCATTTTCAGAAATGTTATATCAGAAAGGCGTACATTGTATTAATCGTATAAAAATAGCTGCTTCAATGTGAGAGCATTTAAAGAAAGTATTGTATCGCATTTCATTATCCACACTAGCAGATTTCATTTCTAAATGGCCTAAATTACAAAGTTCAGTTTTGAAAGTTTCTACCATAAAATAATTTTAGCAAAAAACAATTATTTTTAAGTTTCCCAGAAACTTCAAATTAGGCTACTTACTAAGTAATCGCGCGTTTGGACACTAAAATTAGAACTCTGTTTGTATTTGACATTTTGACTTCGAAATCTGCTAATTCTAAGCAAATCGTGTGTTTTAAATTAACAAGTCATTTTATGATGATGGTAATGATGATGACGCTGATATGCTTATTTTATTGCTTGATCAATCGGCAATCAGTAATAGTTGTTAGGACCATTTATTTATTTTAAATAAAACTGAAATATTCCTTTACATTTCGAAAGAAATGAGACTTTTAGTTGTAATAATCAATATGTTCAGAAAATAAAACATAATTTCACGAATCATATAAAACGGAGATTTAATAATCTTAAATAGATCATTTAATATAGCCAAGTAATAAACAGTAAATTGACAAATGTTTGTTTATTTATCTATGATTGTTTATAACTAGGAAATTAATAAAAAATTTGGCAAATATCGTAAGCCACAAAATGTCTTTCATAAAACAATCAATTGGCAAGCTAAATCTCAGATCAACGTAAGAAGAATCTACAGCGATGAAGACAATTTTTCTTGAACAGAAAATGCTTTGGCTTATAAAGAAATTGGTGTACCACACATGATTGGTTGCTGGGTTGGCCAATAATGTTGGTGATATTTGCTCTAATGGCGGTCTTACAATTGTAGAAATTCAACAATAAGGTACGCAAAGGATCCCGTTTATTAGATTTGCATTTTCGCACCAGAAATATTGCATTAGGTTTCATTGCGATTTCAGAACCTGCAATTACTCTTGTTGGCATAACTGAAAGGTAATTTACCAATTAAGTGAATGAGTTTGACAACTTGAGGAACAAAATGGATATAGGACAAATGACGTGGCCTCAAGTATTCGTCAAATTAGGACATATCTATTTAAGCATTATTGTCGCCAGTAATAATTTATTAATATACACAATGGTAAGGCCAAGTATTGTACCATTTTTAACATTTATTTATTTCAAATGGCAGGCGTTTTGATAGTTGTCATTAGCCTTTAGTTGGCTTAGGTATTCACAGAGGGGAGGAATATCGAAGTGTGACAAATTCGAGAGGAGTGACAGAAAGGGTGATTCACGGATGTAAAAGAGACAGACAGACACAAAGGTAGAGAAAAAGTAAGATGAATACTATGAAATTTGTGGAATACGACATACAGTGGGGTCATGGTAGTTTGAAGTGAGAAATCAACTGCAAGTTAATAGACTTTTGCCGTATGAGTATAAGTTGCCCAGGGTGCACCCCCTATTTTTAACATAGAGAGTGTCTAAAGATAAAAGAGAGTTTGACGCGATTTAAGAAATGTCAGCAATTTTTTTGAGTGTGAACTGAGAGTCAAACTCATGTTTTATCTAGTTACTGAAATTGCCAGACTGTCGAAATTTTAATTTCCTTCCATAATGTTCTCGTATGGCTTCACTTACCTCCCCACAATTCTCATTTCAAATAGGCCCTGTAGCACCCGTCTTCTGAACAAAAACACATCTCATTAATTAGTGAAATACCTGCTCTTCAAGGATTTTCATTCTCACTAGTGACCCCTTTTCTCGCACGAAATTCGCAAGGTGCGGGTGTCACGGAAATTCCAAGCAAATTATTTCTATATGTCGCACAAGTTATTGTTGCAGTTTGTCGTCTAATAGGGGGTGTGTGTGTTTAAATTGCTATCTGGATTTAGCCTTGGAACTGGGCACTTGTATTCTCCTCATACCTTCTTGCAGGTAATTCGAGTTGCATAAACCAGCTCTTCGCTTAAGAAATCTTAAATTATCTCAATTGCGGTAGTAAAGAATTCGGTCAAACTATAGTGATTGTGACAATTTTTGGCATTTAAATGCAGAGGTTAAACTTAAGAATTCGAAATTGTACTCCCAATCTCTCAGGAATGTCGGTAGATTATCATTCATTTGTCTGCTGTCTACTGTTTCTGCATCAGCCTCTAAATTGTGTTTTTGAACGACTTTTAATTTGTCATCAAATGGAAGGCTTTGTTATACTTATCATTTATTATACTTATCACTAGTCCTTTGGTTGACTTCGAACTTCACAGAGAGAAGAAGCGTCAAAGTCACAAAAAGTCGAGACTAAGGGGTGGTGGAAGGACAGAAGAGTGATTCACAGATGTAAGAGAGACGGACAGACATAAAGGTAGAGATGAGTACTGTGGAAATGGTGGAATGTGACATACAGTGGGGTTATGGTAGTTTGAAGCCAACTGTCAGTTTATAGACACTTGGCGTACGGGTATACGTTGGCTAGGGTTCACCACATGGAGGTAAGTCTATCGCACTCCCTTAAATTTTATCACAAAATTTTGGATTAGACAATGGTAGCCAGACTGTGAATGCAACAAACTCGTCGAATTTTCAAGCAGTTATCTTCAAGTTTTAATCTAAAGTTTTTTTCAATCTTAGATCTAAATGGAGCTGCATAGCTGTCTACTCTAGACTCCATGTTATTAGGAAAAACTGGTTCATAATTTTGATCATTTCTGTTCATGTGAGAAACGAGCTACTTAATATAAACGAGTTATTTAATTCCAAGCACATCTAACAATGGATATGACTATATACTCCATTTCAGCAGCAAATTTTCCGAGTATTAATTTTTAGTGCGGTAGACGTATATTAGGTGATATATTATTGCACGATTTAGACACTAGAATTTGGCTTTCAGGTATCATAGGTTGTAGGAAATTCATTTGGTATAAGTTTTAACTTCACATTAAATACATATGAATTTGATTGGATAATCATCTGATCCAATTTTTCCATGAAAAATATTTTTCTTGAGTGCTTTTTATTGCATTCTTTTGTAGTAGATAGGATTTGATTAA